AAAAATAACAACACTTTGTCAGGACCATGAGGCGATCATTCCTACCAACTTTCAGTTCAATCGGCCCAGCAGAACTTGACTTTAAGTTTGAAATGTAAAATGTCAACGAACGACGGACGACGGACGACGACGGACGAAAACGGATAGCAATAGGTCACTTGAGCTAAAGCTCAGGTGACCTAAAAACCTAAGACTATTTTCGTGTTTATACTGCTTCAAATTGCGTTCAAAACGACTATACAAAATACCTGACTTATATCAATATGGCCTCACCACAGGGACCGTAGAATTTGTTACAGCTATATTTGGACCTAAACTAAGGTGTTCAGAGTAATTTAAAATATTTTAGGGGTTTAGATCGACTTTCGGTAAAAATGACACCCCCAATGATCATATATATACGAGAAGATATGATCAGGTAATCAGGTCCCTGTGGGCCTCACAAGACAATAGTGCATATTGTGAAGTCGATGAGTGGTGATTTCCTAAATGTCACATTGATATAATAACCACTGTATATTATTGACAGAATAATTCCCTGTAGAAATGTGACTGGATCTCCTCACGAAAACACATATATGAATTAAATAGCATGAGTCACGCTTTGCTAAATTAGCTAGATAAAGGTTTCTATTTATAACCAATAGATCTTTGCTCAGGTATTACAGTTACAAGGTATTACTCTGGTATTACAGTTACAAGACGACCTACTAAGTATCACGATATCTCGTCCTACCAGCCAGCTCTCCACGAAACTTCCGGGTCTGTTATCGACAAAATCTAGCAGCCTTCACTTTTTATAAATGCTACTGAACGATCATAAAAATGCCACGCGGGTTACTCGACTAGCCTCCCTGGGTGTTATCTTGTACGTTTCAAATTCAGTCCACCGGTATTTTACGAATTCTCATTGACCAGATTAGAACAAGAGACTCAATGGGCCTGTACACTACCTAGTATACAAATATCACCACCTTGGGTCTGTATGTTATTCAGAAGAAGTCGTTTAAACGGTTTATACATAGAACCACATTTGACCTTGAAAGTGGGTAAAGGTAATTCATGTCGTCATGCTACAGGCCAAATAGCCTCGCACTTTTCCTCTTAGTAATTCAGTAGTTGTTCAACACATTTGACCCCATTGATATTGAAAGTGGGTCAATGTCACTCATTATAGCATGATACAAGAAAATATCATACACTAAGGCCTATTAGTTACTGATAAGTTATTGAAAAACTTGATAATCATTCACCACAGCGTTCCATTGGCTAAATACCGTGCCTTTAAGCCTCCTGGTTATTCAGAGAAGGTTTTAACTGCTCTATGACAAAGAAAGTGGGTAAAGGTTTTAACTGGTCTATGACAAAGAAAGTGGGTAAAGGTTTTAACTGGCCCATGACAAAGAAAATGGGTAAAGGTTTTAACTGGTCTATGACAAACAAAGTGGTGTAAAGGTTTTAACTGGTCTATGACAAAGAAAGTGGGTAAAGGTTTTAACTGGTCCATGACAAAGAAAGTGGTGTAAAGGTTTTAACTGGCCTATGACAAAGAAAGTGATGTAAAGGTTTTAACTGGTCTATGACAAAGAAAGTGGGTAAAGGTTTTAACTGGTCTATGATAAAGAAAGTGGGTAAAGGTCATTCATGAAATAAAAGTTGACTTCGTGACCCTATAGTTCTTCAAGACAACTTTGGCCCTTGTGACCTTGTAAGTGAGTCACATTTCATCATGTTAGGCCTCTTTGTTATTCCTACGCAGGTTAAAGGTTTAAGCACAGGTCATGTTTTATCACTGTGGCATTGAAAGTGAGCCAGGGCAACTCATTTGAACAAAGTTGGTTGATTCCAGCATATATTGGCTATATACCATGGGTCTAGGCCTGCCACTCTTGGTTATTCAGAAGATGCTATTTAAAGAGCTTAACACGTCTGACTCTAAAACATATCACAGAAGGGTTTATGCAAAAGACAAAATACGCTCTAGAACATCCATCTGAAATCATATCTGAGTGATGAACATCTTCTAGTTTGATTATGATACTGGTAAACCAAAATGTTTGACTCATGTGCCCTTTAAATAAAGAAAATGTCATCAACTTAACAAATTATTAGACCAGCATGATGTTGCCAAATATCATCACCATAGGCCTATTGGTTATTAAGAAGAAGTTAATCAAAGGATTTAACACATATTTGACCACTGTAAAATTAAAGATTTGTGATTGGTTTAAACAATATTTATTACTTAAATTAATTTACAATACAATGCAATCACATCAATTGAAAGGATCTGGTGACAAGATATACAATCTTATATTAGGCCATCTCCTGTGTTTGACATTTTCCTTTTATTTTTTTTTATTTTCTAATCAAGCAGCG